CGTCGGGGCACACAACGGGTGCAGGGCGAGAGAGGGACGCTGGCGCTGACGCTGACGCTGCTGGCCCTGGACCTCGCCGTTCTATTCCGAGTCCTGCTGCATTTTGACGTGGCCATTACCGGCGGAATTGCTTGACGTGCTGCCGCTGCTGGGCGGGAAACTCGTGGGTATGGTGCGGGATGAAGAGAAACACAGCTTCATTATGTATGGGAACTTGCCATCTGAAACACAAACAATTACAAATACTTTAGACATACTTTACTCTTTTTATTCTCATACTTCTTTTTTTAGATGTGGGATCTTTTATATTATTCTATTAGCTGCTGTTGGTAGCATTGCTGGTAGATAGTCGAATTTTTCTTGTCTTGTCGAATTTTATCTTTTGCCTGTACCAGAAGGCAAGGTCTGTCTGTCATCAGAGAAAGAAATTTTCTTTTTCTGACAAATCTAATAAGGCAAAGAAAGAGACTTACTTACGAGCATTCGACTACCTATTTGCAAGACTACTGTCACCAGTTAGTGTACATGATCCCTAAAAAATATCCACATAACTTTCTACTCTGAGGACCTAAGCTTCTCAAATTTCTTCAATTGCTTGTTCTTTCCAAGCTTGCAAATTCAGGAATTAATAATAAAATATGCAATTTATACACCCAATTTAAGATACAGAACTTGCATAATGTATCATATTATTATTAACAGTATTTACAATGCAACGACGTGTTAAACGAGCCCCATCGAAATTTAACGTTTCAGTTTATTACTTATTCACGTTCATACAGCATCCGACATTATGTATAGACGCACATACATTGTCGAAGTTTGCGTTAAGGCAAGACTTGAAGTCGCCAAAATAAGCATACATACTAGGTCAAAATAACTTGGAAACAGAGATAGTACTCGGAACTTTAAGTATCGGTAATATATTCAAACGACTGCCGTACAATCGGGAATGTAATCTGACGTTGGCAATGTTGTGCAATAATTCTGTGTCGACCGGAAATCGTAGGATTCGGGGCAAGTGCATTAACAGATTTACTGGCGCGATGATTATTCGTTGTTGGAGTGCAATTAAATTGCTTTTCACGCGTTTTGTGAGGACTGTTACGGCGGAGAGTCCTTTAGGTACTACGGAAATGATGTTTTAACTGTGTTTAATATTTAATGCAATTGTGAAATAAAATTTGGGGTCCTTCGTAAGAATTGTGACATTAAAGAAGTAAGATTTGTATGGACTCTCGTTATATTGCCGAGGTTGTTCATTTTTTAACAAATTTGAAAGCACGTAGTTAAATCAAGAATTAAACTTCCTTATATTTATAAGAAAAACACAAATGTTATTTAATAATTTATATCGTACGCGATTTGTTATAATAAAGCACGCTTAAAATTCCAGGTTCGTATAAAGAGTTTTCGGCACAAATTTAAAATAAACCGAACTTTTTCCTAGCCGTAAAGTAGAACAGGATAAAGTAGAACGTAGAGGACCGATCGAGAGGTTCTTCTATTTGTGAACAAGATTTGGCAAAGTTAAGTTCAAAGCAGAAGCGCGGATTGAGTGACACAGATATCGATCGAAGTTCAGACGAACAAGAAGAACTTGTTAGATGCTGTCATGTAACGGTTTAATAGATTGAAACTTTGATAGATATCTGGTGTATCCGTTAATTCTGCTGGATCTACTTCCCGTTCTATATTTAGAATCTCACGGTTATCATACACTCGTGCGTGTGACAAGTGAATCAGAGAAACTTCCAGGGAAGATGTATCCTTCAGCCTTTCATTAGAGCGGTATTCAAGTCATATGTTCTTAAATTAATTTGACCTTATACGAAGTAATTTGTTATACATATATTCATTTTAGTACGAATTGTAGTTCAAGTCTGTCTTATTATATCATAAGTTATAATTGTTATTACTATATTGTATATTATAGAATAAATTCTTCTTATATGTTGAATAAACAGGGAATATTTCTATTCACATAAAGATGTTATTTTATAGACTGAATGAACCATGAATACATTGCAGACTATAGACATTATACATACTATGTGTATGTATCTATATATGTACACATAATAAATTCACATAAAAATGTTATTACTAGACTTAATGAATCATGAATACATTGCAGACTATAGACATTATACATACTACTATATGTATGCACATATGTACACATAAAAATGTTATTTTATACACTGAATGAATCATGAATACATTGCAGACAATAGACATTATACACACTACTATATGTATGCACATATGTACACATAATAAATTCACATAAAAATGTTATTTTATAGACTGAATGAACCATGAATACATTGCAGACTATAGACGTTATACATACTACTATATGTATGCACATATGTACACATAAAAATGTTATTTTATGCACTGAATGAACCATGAATACATTGCAGACTATAGACATTATACATACTACTATATGTATGCACATATGTACACATAAAAAATTCACATAAAAATGTTACTTTATAGACTGAATGAACCATGAATACATTGCAGACTATAGACATTATACACACTACTATATGTATGTACATATGTACACATAAAAATGTTATTTTATACACTGAATGAACCATTATTACATTGCAGACTGTAGACATTATACATACTACTATATGTATGCATACATAATAAATTTCCATACAAATTTTATTTATCATAATTGAACATCTCGCATAAAAGACAACAAAACTGTCCAAATAAAAAGTGTCCAAACTCAGTTAAACCTTGTATAAATAATATTAAAAAGAATGTAATTAAAATGTGAAGAATACTTACTGCTGTTTTCCAGCGCTGTGTGATTGCATTCCATGATGGCGGCTACCGCGATACCGACGCTGCTGAATTCGATAAGGCCGGACGACGATCGTTCCGATTTTAAAGGGAACAATTTCACTGTCGTGGGTGCTTCAATACCGCGTTCGACGAACACACGGTGTACGGTTTCTTCGGTTAAATCTGGGGGTGTGTTGAAAAAGTGGACGATCTTCGAGGGTGGTTGTATTCTATTCTTATTGGCCATTGCTGGATTTAGGAACCTGCAAACAAACCACAAACAAACATTTTCTTCAATAACTTTCAATTTATGTTAGATATGAAATTAGTAAATTTACAAAAATCAGTAAATATCGTCAAGAGTAAGTAACTTGGGAAAATAGGGGATATTGTGTGGGGGACATATGTGGATGGGAGGAGGACTTTCAGGTGTTGACTTTTGGAAAGTTTTAGAGACTAATGTTTAGAGAGAAGAGGTGGGAATTTGGAGGTGTGGGAATTTGGGGATGTAGAGATTTGGCGTATGCGGGATTTGGAGGATGTGGGAATTTGGAGATATGAGAATTTAGGGGTGTGGGAATTTGGGGATGTGGGAATTTGGGGATGTGGGAATTTGGGGATGTGGGAATTTGGGGATGTGGGAATTTGGGGATGTGGGAATTTGGGGATGTGGGAATTTGGGGATGTGGGAATTTGGGGATGTGGGAATTTGGGGATGTGGGAATTTGGGGATGTGGGAATTTGGGGATGTGGGAATTTGGGGATGTGGGAATTTGGGGATGTGGGAATTTGGGGATGTGGGAATTTGGGGATGTGGGAATTTGGGGATGTGGGAATTTGGGGATGTGGGAATTTGGGGATGTGGGAATTTGGGGATGTGGGAATTTGGGGATGTGGGAATTTGGGGATGTGGGAAGGGAATTGGGGATGTGAGAATTTGGGGACGTAGAAATTTGGGGATGTGGAAATTTGGGGGCGTGGGAATTTGGGGTCGTGGGAATTTGGGGGCGTGGTAATTTGGAAATATGAGAATTTGGGGATGTGAGAGTTTAGGAATGTGGGAATTCGAGGACGTTGGAATTTGGGTTTGTCGAAATTTTGATTACATTGCAATTTGCGAATGTCGAAGCTTGGTTCTCAAACTTAAACCGAAAAATATAAAAACCTAATGCAAAAACTTGATACACAAACAAACTAAAAAAGTCCAAAAATGTCCACATCGAAAAATAGCAAACTCCTCATATGTACCTTCACGCACCACAAGTTTGCAATGCACCAGCGCACATACATGTGCACCTGTACCAAGTGCGAAGATACAAAGCGAAGAAAATTCGTTACACTCTAAAAATGTTTCTCGGCAACCCCGACATTTGAAAATGATATTTCCCTAACTTCCTCCGCACGATAAATTTTTCTCCTTTCAAGGGGCAGTACCGTAGAGTACTATGTATCATCGGAAACAGATGAATCAAGTTCCGATTCCCATCGGGTTTCGAACGCGTTTCCGACTTTTCCCCCGGCTGTATATAGATCTCTCTCCTTCTCTCGACAAGCTTGTAATTAATTTCTCGCGAACAGTATAACAGTGAACGTCAAAACGGAGCCACCTGAATGGCCAGCTTGCGATGAACTTTTCATCGAACAAATATTAAATCCGTAGGAACGTCGGAATCTCCGGAAGGAAGAACGTCATTAATCGCTGCGCATTTCTGTTCCGCTCGAAATGTGAAAACTGGTATGCTATATATAGAGAGAGTCCAGCCTCGCTCATTAAGGTTCATTCAACGACCAGACACGTTTCGGAGCCGATTAGAATTACCAACGACTGTTTGATAGATCGATTCGAGTTTGGAGAGCAAATTGCTCATCTTTCGTGTACTTTTCTTTTGATGAGGAATTTCAATTAATTTAAGGGTGGATGCATTGGAAATTTTTATTTGGCTGTTTTGTGTGGTTTATTTGTATAGTGGAAGGGTTTTATTGGGGTGAATGTTAGGGGGGAAGCTTGGGTTTTTAGGGATTTGGGAATTTGGGAAATTTGGAGAGTTGGAGGAGATTTTGAGTTTGGGGTTTGGGGAATTGGGGGGCTGGGAGGTGTGAGAATTTTGGGAGTTGGGGAAAGTGAAATTTGGGGGATGGAATTTGGGGAATTGGGAATTTGGGAATTTTGTGAGGTTTGAGAATTGTGAAAATTTAGGATGTGAGAATTTGGGAATTTGGGAAGTTGGAAATATGGAAATTTGGGGATGTAGGAATTTGGGGACGATGGAATTTGGGG